CCTCTCACCACTCACATTAAAGCAATAAATCATTATACGTATAAATACTTTTTAAAAAGACCTAGCACAGGGTGGGACGAGTTTAAACTCCTTCCTTTTATGAGCCACTGTGTGATAACCCGCTGAAGTCCCATAATAAACCACAGTCACCACTTCAACTTCAATTATCAGCAATGTTTGTTGAATGATTCTGTCACATAACTCCAACACCAACAGCCACTTGTCAGTGCAATAAACATTATGTCAACATAGACATGGTGTAACACCTGGGCTTTCTTGTTCTGTGAGGGCTGAAAATGGGACATTAACAAAGGGTACAGAGGGGAAGGGGGGGAGGGCTTCAATTGAAGCTGCTCTGCCAATTTTTTAGTAAACTTAAAAGTTTCATTTATCATAGCTGGTGGAAAGATTTTAATTGTTTTCTTTTAGTAAGCTTCAAACTGATCTTCATAAAACTTACTATCACATTTTACTTCATACAACTTTTTATCACATTTTAATTCATAAAGCTATCCTTTTTACTTCATGAAACTTTCTGCTACATTTTACATCATGAATCTATCACATTTCACTTCATACAATTATCTATCACATTTCACTATATGAAAATCTATATCACATTTTACCTTAAAAACTTTCTGTCCCATTTTACTTCATCTTTATTAAATCACTTATGACACTATAAACAATTCATGTCTCTATATCAAATTAATTGAGTAAAAATTCAAATAAACCAGAGAACTCACCTCCAAGAAATCATATGAGCAGTTGTCATGGTGCTCCAAAGCCAGAGTCCCAAATGTGAACAAAATTTTCTTGGTGGTTGCCACAGCGATGGTCCATACACAGTCACGGTTGTGAGGGTAGTTGCCAGGGTAACCAGGACTTTGTATTGACCCGTGTGTTCTGTTACTTATTACACCACCGCAGTCTACATGAACAGAATATACAATACAGTGAACATGATCTATAAGATCTTATCAGATGTAATACAACATCAGTTGCTAAATTATCTGTCAAATAAGACAAAAAACTTTAAGCATAATGAAAACATCTTCATAACTACTTTGGTAATCAGGCATTAATTATTTTATTATTTTTTTGCTTTCAAACCCAAGGAGGTTATTAACTATCCTGCACACTTGGCTCTCCGAAGTTCTTTCACTTGAGGAGGCGTATCAGACAATTAAACTGATAATACTGAATGCACTTTGGCAATAATCCCCCACCGAGTTGGATCAATCCAGTTAGTATGATGGGTTTATCTCAACACGGTTTTATGTTCATCACATACAACTTACTGATTTAACATTACTCACATGGGTCCATTGTGGTCCACTGCAATGCAAAGCCATGTCCAGCTACTGACCCATCAGATCTGAACCAGAAGTAAAGCTGGTGATGAGTGCTGTTAAATGTACCATTCAGTGGTGCCCTGTTGCCGCAGAATTTCCCAATCTGGTACGCTGAAGCCGTCAGACCATCGTGGATTTGAAGGAAGTCGTAATCGCAGTTCTGATGGTATTCTATATCAAACCGAGTGAACTGGACGTTTATCACCTGTAACAGAACAGATATAAATTCATCTATTTGTATGCAACTTAATTATTGTGACAACACTTCTGACTTGATCAGATACTTAAAATAAAAAATTTTACTTGTGGCCACGTTCACACACTTGCACAAACTGAGTTTTTCTAATATTTTTCAACAACTTTGCTTTTTCGTTATGATCCAGTATTATGCTTTCTTGGAAAAAATCAATCTCAGCTGACAACCGAGTACAGGAGGGTATGGGGGTGGGGTGGGGGGGGATTCTGGGGGCCCTGGGGGGAGCATACTCGAGTCTCCACTGAGATCACTTTACCTTGTTCACAGTGGTGGTGATGGTCCAGGCACAACTGACCCCGTGAGGATATTCCTGACCATTTGGTACTGGGAAGGAGAGAGAACCTGTCTCTCCAGTGAGAGCTACTCCACAGCCTGGAACAGAGATGTTTATAACACTAGAGATCTTCAGCAGGGGTGTTCATACCACAGCTAGCAAATAGGTAGATGACACTGTAGGGTCATTCATACCATACCTATCATATACATGCATCATGTATCTTCTCACAGTTACAAAAAGGTGCAGAAGACAACAGAATAACTGGTTAAACTGTTGCTAATCAAGTCTAAACCAACACAACCAGTTCAAATAAAAAGACAAACTAACTTACCCACGGGTGTCTGACAAGTGGTACCAGTGTGTGTACTTGGACACTGACACTGAAACCTGTTCACACCGTCCACACAAGTACCGCCATTTTGACAGGGACTGCTAGCGCACTCGTTGATATTGACCTGACAGTTAGAACCTGTCCAGCCTGGGTTACATATACACTGGTATGTGTTGCCATTGACCTGAAATATATTGAATATCATAGTTTTCTTGGATCTCTCCCATTACTGAACATATGATAATCACTTTATTAAAAATAGACCAAACCAACATGTGTTTATATTGAAGATGTTTACTGACAAAGCTTGTGGAATTATTCTGTATCATTTCAAGTATACAATATTCTTGGGTTAACAGTGATATAAAATTCAACACTACATTATTTCACTCTTGTTATCCACTCATCCAATCGAGATATTGTCCACAGCCAGAAACTTGACCAAAGAGCGACATAAAGTACATATAGTTCAACTGTCAATATCACAGATATTCTAAAGCATTCCAATGAATAATACAGGATACTTTGAAGATCTTTTATAAATTGGATTATAAAAATTCATGAAGCAAAACACAAACCAACCTGACACTGTCCATTGCTGCCACATGGGTTGTTGAAGCAAGGATTGCCAGGGGCAACAGTTCCTATGGCAACACAGCCACTTGGCCCTATGCCGCTGCCTTGGTAACCAGGGGGACAGTGACATGTTCTTCCCTCAACAACAGCTAGTGTCAAAACAATGATAATCTATTTATAATATATGGATGAATCTTTTGAAGGACGTTACAAGGGAATAGCTACTGATATTTGTTTCCATGGGCAAGTAGCACACTGTGGTGAAATAGTTTCACTGTCCCTACTTTGGTTATTTTATAAACAGCCAGCCACCTAGATATATGACAGTTATCTATTATTATCTTAACATCTAATGTCTATGATGTAGTAAATCTCACTTATACCATAGGAGAATAACTTACAGTCCAATGAATCAGAAACACAAAAGGAAATAAATTATGTGAGGGAAGAAAAGGCTTTTAAACACGAAGGGTGCAAAAAACAAGAGAATCATTGGTTTAGCTGTCTGCTAATCAGGTCTTAACCAACACAACCACTTTAAATAAAAAGAAACCCTCACCTGCATTCTCCACACAGCTGGCCACAGGATGACATCCTCCATTGTTGGAACTGCATACACCTCCAGACACTGGCAGACACACCTGACCATTGCCTTGGTAACCTAATATAACAAACAGACATATCTGCAAATATCATGTTGTAACTTTTCATTGTGTACATCATTTCAACAGTAATGTAGAAGTTATTCTGGCAAAAGGATCGGTTTATTTTTCATGCTCTTGATAGAAAAATCTTCATTTCCTAGAGGGTTTCAGACTAAGGTATTACTAAAATATGAATACTCTACTTGATGTCTAATCCATCAGATAGATGCCAGCTTGAAACCATACATGTAGCAGCAATCAATCCATACTTCACCAGAGCAAAAACATATACACACCACAGCATATTTATAACCCAATCATTCCTACTGTCTAGTGAGTGACCATTTACCTGCTGGGCACTGTCCACATACACTGCTGCCCCTGGTGTTAATACACTGTACCAGGGGGGTCTGGGAGCAGCCTCCATTGTTAATTAGACACTCGTTGACATCACTACATGTGAAGCCATTTCCTGTGTAACCTGTGGTATGAAAGAACAGATTGGTTTGAGATTATAGGTATTTTGGTACACAATCGTAATGAAAATATTTATGCACATCCAAGAACACACATGCGTACATATGCATGCGCACATGTCTACAAGGACGTGGGCGCACACACATGCATGCACACACACACATCATTTAGGCTTCCACAATGTAATTCTAATGCTAAAACTGGCAAGACCTATAGATGGTAGTCTGTTTGGTCTGAAAGTTAATGACAAGGAAAAAATGCTGGGTTTATATATCTTTACATTGTGACTTACCTACTGGGCAGTTTCCACAGTGGAATGTACCAGGTAAGTTGATACACTGAACAGGCGGATCACTTGAACATGGTGGATTGTTACTGTCACATTCGTTAATGTCTGCCACACATGCAGGATTACTTCCACTGTCCTTGGTCCAGCCATCTTCACAAATACAGTCATACTTGGGCTGAAGTGAGGATACAGAAAGGAGTTAGACCAACAGCTAGTATGTTGTCTCATTTAAGATTCTTTATTCTTTAAAAAAACAGATTAATGAAAATTTTGAGCAAGGCAATATTGAACCTATTTTCATAAACAATCCTGGGTAATGTAAAAAATCCTTAACTTTCTAAAAAAAATTCCTTTAATTTAATAGCATTTTCTTTATTAAAATCTTTTTAACCTAGAAATGTCAAAATTGATCATAATTACACATTAGGCCACACTTTTTTATTTTTATGGATGACATCCTCTGGGGACCCCAAAATCGGTGCGAGCGGGCGAAAAAAAAAAAAAAAAAAAAAAAACNCTACTCACATTAAAGCAATAAATCATTATACGTATAAATACTTTTTAAAAAGACCTAGCACAGGGTGGGACGAGTTTAAACTCCTTCCTTTTATGAGCCACTGTGTGATAACCCACTGAAGTCCCATAATAAACCACAGTCACCACTTCAACTTAAATATCAGCGATGTTTGTTGAATGTTTCTATCACATAACTCTAACACCAACAGCCACTTGTCAGTGCAATAAACATTATGTCAACATAGACATGGTGTAACACCTGGGGAGTCTTGTTCTTACCTGTATTTACACTGTGAGGGCTGAAAACGGCTTTATTTACAAGGCAAGGGACTACCATTTCAGGGATCAGATGGGGGGGGATACTTCAATCCAATTCAATTCAATTCAAAAGGCTTTGTCAAATTTTGACCATAGCTGGTGGAAAGATTTTGACAGTTTTCTTTTAGTTAGCTAAAAAATGATCTTCGATCATTATACTTTCTATCGCATTTTACTTCATGAAACTCAAAATTTACTTCATGAAACTCTTCATGAAACTATCTATTACATTTTATATCATTAATTTATCACATTTCACTTCATAAAATAATCTATCACATTTTACCTTAAGAAACTTTTTATCCCATTTAACTTCATCTTTATTAATTCACCTAAGACACTATGAACAATTCACATCGCTATACCAAATAAATTGAGTAAAAACTTCTAATAAACCAGAGAACTCACCTCCAAGAAATCATATGAACAGTTGTCATGGTGCTCCAAGGCCAGAGTCCCAAATGTGAACAAAATTTTCTTGGTGGTTGCCACGGCGATGGTCCATACACAGTCACGGTTGTGAGGGTAGTTGCCAGGGTAACCAGGACTTTGTATTGACCCGTGTGTTCTGTTACTAATTACACCACCGCAGTCTACATAAACAGAGTACACAATATAGTGAACATATTTAGTGATTTTATTCAAGATATATAAGATCTACACTGTTATAATGCAACATCAGTTGCTGAATTATCTGTCAAATATAACAAAAAACATCAGCATAATGAAAACATCTTCATATCTACTTTGGTAATCAGGCATTAATTATTTTCTTATTTTTTTTGCTTTCAAACCCAAGGAGGTTATTAACTATCTCGCACACTAGGTTCTTGGAAGCTCTTTCACTCAAGGAGGCCTGTCTGACAATTAAATGGATTATACTGAATGCACTATGGCAATAATCCACCACAAAGCTGGATGAATCCAGCTGGTATGATGGGTTTATCTCAACACGGTTTTATGTTCATCACATACAACTCACTGATTTAACAACACTCACATGGGTCCATTGTGGTCCACTGCAATGCAAAGCCATGTCCAGCTACTGACCCATCAGATCTGAACCAGAAGTAAAGCTGGTGATGAGTGCTGTTAAATGTACCATTCAGTGGAGCCCTGTTGCCGCAGAATTTCCCAATCTGGTATGCTGAAGCCGTCAGACCATCGTGGATTTGAAGGAAATCGTAATCGCAGTTCTGATGGTATTCTATATCAAACCGTGTAAACTGGACATTTATCACCTGTAACAGAACAGATATAAATTCATCTATTTGTATGCAATTTAATTATTGTCACAACACTTCTGTCTTGATCAGATACTGACAATAAAAAATTTTACTTGTGGCCACGTTCACACACTTGCACAAACTGAGTTTTTCTAATATTTTTCAACAACTTTGCTTTTTTGTTATGATCCAGTATTATGCTTTCTTGGAAAAAATCAATCTCAGCTGACAACTTAGTACAGGAGGGTATGGGGGGGGGGGGGTACTGGGGGCTCTGGGGGAAGCATGCTCGAGTCTCCACTGAGATCACTTTACCTTGTTCACAGTAGTGGTGATGGTCCAGGCACAGCTGACCCCATGAGGATATTCCTGACCATTGGGTACTGGGAAGGAGAGAGAACCTGTCTCCCCAGTGAGAGCTACTCCACAGCCTGGAACAGAGATTTAGAACTCTAGAGATCTCCAGCAGAGGTGTTCATACCCCAGCTAGTAAACATGCAGTTCTTAACCATCTGGTTCACTTAACTGTTCTTTTCAAACAAATAAGATGTGGTATCTTGCTATTGGTTAAACTGTCAGCTAATCATATCAGGGCTATCAGGGCTTAATTAAAACAACCACTTCAAATAAAAAGAAAAATTCATAACTCACCAACAGGTGTCTGACAAGTGGTACCAGTGTGTGTACTTGGACACTGACACTGAAACCTGTTCACACCGTCCACGCAAGTGCCGCCATTTTGACAGGGGCTGCTGGCACACTCGTTGATATTGACCTGACAGTTAGAACCTGACCAGCCTGGGTTACATATACACTGGTATGTGTTGCCATTGACCTGGAGTATATTGAATATATTATTTTTCTTGGATCTCTCCCATTACTGAATATATGATAATCACTTTATTAAAAATAGACCAAACCAACATGTGTTTATATTGAAGACGTTTACTGACAAAGCTTGTGGAATTATTCTGTATCATTTCAAGTATGCAATATTCTTGGGTTAACAGTGATATAAAATTCAACACTACATTATTTCACTCTTTTTATCCACTCATCCAATCGAGATATTGTACACAGCCAGAAACTTGACCAAAGAGCGACATAAAGTACATATAGTTCAACTGTCAATATCACAGATATTCTAAAGCATTCCAATGAATAATACAGGATACTTTGAAGATCTTTTATAAATTGGATTATAAAAATTCATGAAGCAAAACACAAACCAACCTGACACTGTCCATTGCTGCCACATGGGTTGTTGAAGCAAGGATTGCCAGGGGCAACAGTTCCTATGGCAACACAGCCACTTGGCCCTATGCCGCTGCCTTGGTAACCAGGAGGACAGTGACATGTTCTTCCCTCAACAACAGCTAGTGTCAAAACAATGATAATCTATTTATAACATATGGATGAATCTTTTGAAGGACGTTACAAGGGAATGGCTACTGATATTTGTTTCCATGGGCAAGTAGCACACTGTGGTGAAATAGTTTCACTGTCCCTACTTTGGTTATTTTATAAACAGCCAGCCACCTAGATATATGACAGTTATCTATTATTATCTTAACATCTAATGTCTATGATGTAGTAAATCTCACTTATACCATAGGAGAATAACTTACAGTCCAATGAATCAGAAACACAAAAGGAAATAAATTATGTGAGGGAAGAAAAGGCTTTTAAACATGAAGGATGCAAAAAACAAGAGAATCATTGGTTTAGCTGTCTGCTAATCAGGTCTTAACCAACACAACCACTTTAAATAAAAAGAAACCCTCACCTGCATTCTCCACACAGCTGGCCACAGGATGACAGCCGCCATTATTGGAACTGCACACTCCTCCAGACACTGGCAGACACACCTGACCATTGCCTTGGTAACCTAATATAACAAACAGACATATCTGCAAATATCATGTTGTAACTTTTCATCGCATACATCATTTCAACAGTAATGTAGAAGTTATTCTGCCAAAAGGATCGGTTTATTTTTCATGCTCTTGATAAAAAAATCTTCATTTCCTACAGAGGGGTAAAGACTAATTAAGATATTACTAAAATATGAATACTCTACTTGATGTCTAATCCAACAGATAGATGCCAGCTTGAAACCATACATGTAGCAGCTATCAATCCATACTTCACCAGAGCAAAAACATATACACACCACAGCATATTTATAACCCAATTATTCCTACTGTCTAGTGAGTGACCATTTACCTGCTGGGCACTGTCCACATACACTACTGCCCCTGGTGTTAATACACTGGACCAGGGGTGTCTGGGAGCAGCCTCCGTTGTTAATTAGACACTCGTTGACATCACTGCAAGTGAAACCGTTCCCTGTATAACCTGTGGTATGAAAGAACAGATTGGTTTGAGATTATAGCTATTTTGGTACACAATCGTAATGAAAATATTTATGCACATGCAAGAACACACATGCGTACATATGCATGCGCACGTCTACAAGGACGTGGGCACACACACATGCATGCACACACACACATCATTTAGGCTTCCACAATGTAATTCTAATGCTAAAACTGGCAAGAACTATAGATGATAGTCTGTTTGGTCTGAAAGTTAATGACAAGGAAAACATTTGCTGGTTTTATATATCTTTACATTGTGACTTACCTACTGGACAGTTTCCACAGTGAAAAGTACCGGGTAAGTTAATACACTATAACACTACACTATGACTTACCTTCTGGACAGTTTCCTCAGTGAAAAGTACCAGGTAAGTTAATACACTATAACACTACACTATGACTTACCTACTGGGCAGTTCCCACAGTGAAAAGTACCGGGTAAGTTGATACACTGAACAGGAGGATCACTAGAACATGGCGGATTGTTACTGTCACATTCGTTAATGTCAGCCACACAGGCAGGATTACTTCCACTGTCCTTGGTCCAGCCATCTTCACAAATACAGTCATACTTAGGCTGACATAAGGATATAGAAAGGAGTAAGACCAACAGCTAGTATGTTATCTCATTTAAGATTCTTTATTCTTTAAAAAAACAGATTAATGAAAAACTTGAGTGAGGCCATATTGTACTATTTTCATAAACAAACCTGGGTAATGTAAAAAATCCTTAACTTTCTAAAAAAAATTCCTTTAATTTAATAGCATTTTCTTTATCAAAATCTTTTTAACCTAGAAATGTCAAAATTGATCATAATAACACATTAACTGAAAACCAAAACATATAAACTTTGTTATTCAAAATGCCTTTCTAAATGCTCTCATGAACACCCTACTAATAAACAGCCTTCAAAGAATGAATTTTGGCAACCTACAACTAACGTAGAAATGAAATTACAAATGACCTTAAAATAACACAAACAATGACCTTGATGACCTACCAAGTTAGGATTTGTCCTTGGTACATTGACACAGGTTCCGTGTCCACAGAGTTCCTGGGCAGAGGCTCCTGTGCAGTCTTGATGGGTCTCTGTACAACGAATTCCACGGTAGTTAGCAGTACAGGTGCACCTGAAATTGGGTCACAAAAATAAGGTAAACCAATGGAGGTCACCAGAATTAGGTCAGCAGCTGCTATAAACTGAAGCCAGTTTCACAAAACTAATGATATTTTGTGTCCTACTCATAACATATCTAATATGTAGTAACTACCCATAATTTGTCTACTACAATTTCTACAGTACTTGAATTCACTGATATTCTGTCTAAACCAACAGCTTGGTCTCATATGAAACCTCTAGGCACACTGAATGAGATTTTACCAATATAAAGTTGCTTATTGCCACTTTTTGATGATCAACCAAAGAAGATTGACCTTGGGTTGTATTATTCACCTAAAGCTTCCAATGGTATTAGTACAAGTGGCCCCATTCTGGCATCCCATGTCAGTTCCAGCCAGTGTGGCACACTCATTGACATCCTCATTACACCGCGTGCCCTGAAATAATGGCAAATAACATGTCATTTGTCACATTTCACATATTTCTTTAAATCTAATCCATTTAAACATTAATTCTTTTTATCTAATATTAATTCACTTTGAAAAAGATGCCCTTTGTATTTCATTATAATCTAAGTTATTTTATCGAAATTATTATTCATATTAATCAACTTTAAAGCTGCAAATTAACGGTTGAAAATTATTACTTGTCTTTAGTTAAGTCATACAAGATTTGTTGTCCAAAGTATCAATTTTCAATGTAACTTAAATATAGCACACACTCTAACACTTTGTTAAGTTTTTATTTTATTTTCCAATATTTATTGAAAACAAAGTACTTCTAAGGCCAGACCACATAGAGGATCGATTTCAGTCAAATCTGATCAAATAATGGAGGCCTCACAGACCACACTCTATTCTGGAAAAGTTTGTCACCATACCTGCCAAGCAGATGGACATCTACAGGTATAGCCGTTGTACAGGTCAACACAGGTGCCGCCATTTTGACAGGGGTTCGATGCGCACTCATTCCTGGTCAGTAACTAATATGAATATAATCATGGAAAAACACATTAAGCAAAATAAATATAAAGCATGTGTGAGGGGGGTAGAATACTTTGCTGATTGCTAAAATTGGTTTTGTCTGCTATAAAAATATGAATGAATTCATCTATTCTCATCATCTTATTATGGTGTTGTCACAAGGTTTCTTATTAAATGAAAGCCTAAAATTTACTACTTAAAGTGAACAGATTTCACCACTCCTTGAACATCATGTACTCCAATTCTCAGCACCTTTTATTACTAAAATGAATATTTAGATAGAGGGAAATATTAACCCAAAACAATAAAGTAACAACATATATACACATTAACGAGCCTTAAGTTTCATTCAGTAATTACAGGCATTACTACCTTCTACAGGTGACAAAGATTTCATCACTTTCTTAATAATTCTATTTCTAGTTTTATTATTGGAACCCATGCAAATAATTGATAAATTTTCACTCATCAAAAAACAATATGGCACAGAGCTGCACATTAATACCCTTTCAATATATGTGGCTAAAAAAGGAAGCTATTAATTACTTTTGAGTTACCAGTGTGTTATTAGCCATGCTATATGTCAATGTCTGAATTCAGTGGTTTATTTTTGCCACATGCTCAGTAGAGATGATGACTTCTATATCATACTATCTATTGACAAGATGTTTACCTAAATTGTCATTCTACTACAAAACAACCTAAATGCAGACAGAAAAATTGTGTTACATGTTAAACTGTTCATACACTTCTGTCAAATTTTTTACGCTAAACTCTCATGCAAAGTATCAAACTACACGTAAAAACTGATTCTTTGTTCTCTGTAATTTTTTTTCTTGTAATGCAGCCATTTAAGCTAACATGCATCATTTGGTCTTGGCAAAATGCATTAAGAAGCAAAAATTACAACTAAAATGTTGCTAAAAGACAAAAACATGTTGATTTCCTTGTCAAAGTAAACAGCCGCGTGGCAGCTGTGACAATCAGTGTGGCCATTTTGTAATAACATTCATATGTAAAAAAACAAAAACAAAATAACATCACGCTCATCATGCTATATATTCAAAATAATAACAGACAAGGGGCTGAAATAACATACAGACAGAGGCTTATGAAGTATATGATACAGCTGCAAGGCAACTTTTTCACAAAGTCCAAGTGAAAATAATTGTCCCCACCCCCCTCTCACCCTATTGAGTCGTCTCATCTGTCGCTCTAAGTTTGCTACCTAGAAAGTATAAAATACTGAAAATGAAAATTAGATCAAATGGCTACCACTTACCCTCTGTAGTTGTTGTACTTGTGTTTCTAGAGTGCTCACCTACAATAAAACAGTGTAATTCTGGGTGTATCTTATTCTTAATGACATATTTTAAAGAAAGGTGAGCTTCTCAAAAAGAACTTTATAAAACAGTTTACAAATAATCCATTAATTGTGCACTACAGATAAATCTCTTCATTAAGTGTTGCGAACTTAAATATGTTTATATTAAAATGTTCACTTTAGGTCAATTGTTTTCTATCAAATTTATTACATATTACCAATAACATCAAAAGAATGAAAATGCGATCTGCCAAATTTATTCATTAAAATCAAATTCTGTTTATTGTACACAACTGGATCACACAAATTAAAAGTAACAGACACACACGCATCCAAGTCTTTCTTTTCCTTGTTCATCACACATCATAAATACAACCATTCGTACAATGTTGTCTTGTGGATCTTTTTATCAAAGAGATCACTTCTTACACAATACAAGAATATTTCAGCCATTGGTTTCTGCACAAGTCACAATGACAGAGAAAGGTGGATCTGCTGCTTAAACTGAATCTGGCATAAAAATGCTTTAAGGTCCATTATCTTTACATGATTCCTGTGTAAAAAAAAGTTCTAGGATGTGCTTCTGGATTTTAACCAAACCACAAGACAGTTACAAGTTGGTGACATTTATTTAACCACTTATAGAAACAAATACAAACGAAAAAAAAATAGCTGGGTTGGATTTTAAAGAACCCGGTAGTCTGCCATAAATACATTACCCTTGCTCTCAGCCTCCGAACTATATAGTTGTTATTGTTATTATTATTAGGTTGGCTCGTTGGACTCGTTGGCATGGGCCTATTTTCTACATCATCTACCTGAAAGTTTTGTAAATCTTTATGTTCAAAATGGTTCATAATTTCTTCAAATCCTGTTTATACTGTTACCTTATAGTGTTGTTAGTATGGTGGCTGTACAACATGCAGTCACATGCACAAGTGGTGAGCTATAGCTTTCTCTTCCTTTCTCCACCTTCTCTCTGGGTTATATACTACTAGGTATTAGTTTAAAATGATACAGCAAGCCGTTCCATGCCATTTAGTTCAGTGCTCACATTATAAACTGTACCAAAGTATTGATCCATTGGTACTGTGAAGATTTACCGCGCATTATTGTTATAGATGCAGGCGATGATTGTTGTTTAAATCTGCATTATTAAGTACTAAGTTTTTTTTGTCATTTTTATCATATCATTTGACTTTATTGCTGTCCAAGTGATATCATGCATTCAGGATAAGCTGAATTTTACCCTGGTTTTTGATGACAGTTTTAAGGCACACTGAATTTTAATGAATGTAATTTTCACTCCAGGCTCCCCAAGTTCCATCTAAGCAAGGCCATCAGAGTATTTTTGACTCCAAGTCACTTCACTTCCCTTGACTACAATCCATCATGAGTAAAACAACACCCTTTTTCTTCACAACATCAATACCCCCCAAAAAAACAATGCAAGGGGTACAGAACTGTGCTGGAAATGTACCTCATCATTTTGATACACACATTTCCAAACTTCTGCCCACATGACAACCCAAGCATTCTCCACGACACTTGTCCCCCCGTGTTCAGCCTGGATCATGTTGATCCATACCCTGTACATATACGCACTGTGCACCACTGCACATCACCATGACCATGCATATATTATGTAGATGACCCCATTAGCACCTTGATGTCTTGTAACAATGGCATCAATACTAGAAGACTGAGCATTCGTTGCAGGATATCTACAACATGGACTTTGCCTTCCTATCATCCTGTGGTGAATGGTATCTTGTAGGGTAAGGGTATTGATTCGGCTCTTACATTCAAACCTGCCGCTCAAAATCACAAATGGCAGTTTCAGCTATGTAATGAGGTCTGATCTTATTCAACACATCTTACCCTATCAAAAACAGTGTTACACCGGTCTCATGGACACATGCACACATCTTACCCTATCAGGAACAATGTTACAGCATTCTCATAGTCACATGCACACATCTTACCCTATCAGGAACAGTGTTACAGCACTCTCAAGGTCACATGCATACATCTTACCCTATCAGGAACAGTGTTACAGCACTCTCATGGTCACATGCACACATCTTACCCTATCAGGAACAGTGTTACAGCAGTCAGATGGAGATGGAGACCCACTATTACTTTCCAAGTTAGCAACCTGTGAAGTTAGTAGGAAACATGCACATATGTTAGTTCACATGCCACATGCAAATGTTTTGTGCTACATTGGTTCAGATGGTAGTCTTGAATTATGAAAACCATGCAACTCTTCTATTTTTTGTTGACAACTGAAAATAAACTTTGCACAGGAATGATGTTATTTATATATTAACAATATACAAAATCAATTTTATAAAACATGCCCTCTACTTAAGCATAAGTGTGGGCCTATCAGAAAATGATCAATCATGCTTATATACATGCATACTTAGTGATGCATTTTTCATTGATGTTTATTTTCATTCCTTTTTCTGCTGGGCAGAATTTTCAATTTGCTCAGCAAATCAGAATTTTTTTCTACAGACAACTTTTCAAAATTGCTACATCATGACTTAAAATGCAATATTTGGATGTTTTTTTTTTCACTGCCATGCTGTTATCATATCAATACAAAGTGGGTATGCAAGGAAAACATATTTTTATAACAAAAGTACACATCACTATAAGCATCACCCGACAACAGCAAGTAGAACATGAGGACACATCTCTTGTGCATTGTTTTCTGCTCCATGGTGCATGAAGGAAGCAAAGGTTATAAATACAGCTGTTTATGCCTCTTAGGGCACATTGCCATTGAAACTATTGTTCTACATAGATCAATCCAGCTCTTTGGGGACTCTTGCTGAATACAATCAGACTGACTGAATGGCATGCCTCCTCAAGCAGATATGACCCTAGGTTTAAAAAAAACCTCTGAACATTTATCATGGGACCCAACACCTAACCTTGACAAATCTCAGGAACCATCAGAATTGAATTAAACAACGCAGAATTCCAGCGGAAAAAGTTCATGTCTGCTCAAGCTAGGGGATGATGAACTTTTGTGTGGGAATGAGTTCTGGAAGCTTATTTACTTAGTTTTGAGTGCCACTGAATGCACAAGTTGATTCTCCCCTAGCTGCTGAAGTCTAACTGCATTAAGCACGAGTCCCTGGGGAGTTGGATTGATCTATGTATTCAGTTACATTGGGAATAGGCCATTACTAAGATTGTTGCCCACAAGCATTTTACTTTTTTCTTCAAAATTTATTATTCTGAGCTATTATTTATAGAAATATTGCATATGACAAAATAACAAGACTGAAATTATTATCCCATTCACTATTAGAGAGTGAAACTACATTTAAGCACTATCAAAATGAACAATAACAGTACAAATATCCAACATACCACTGTCATTTACAAAGTACAATAATTTTTATTAACATTTAATATTGGGACACATTCTGTAGTACATTATTTATCAACTGACAAAATTAACAATTAACCTTGATATAAGAATTTTGAGTTTTGCCAAAATAATGAAATATCTCTTTTTTCTGAGATGTTTCCAGCAGTTATAAAACAGGTGTGTTGTACTCACCCTACTGGAGAGAGCTGTGATTTGTGTGGAGAGTGTATTCAGAGTATTCTGGATCTGGTTGATGGTACTAACACTATTCTCCACATTACTCAGTCTGCTCTGAACAGCTGTGTTCTGAAATAATATGTTACTTTTTACTTGATTTTCTTTCATAATATTAGCACAAAAATATTGCCAAGTGCTGAATGTTTTATTTCCAATGATCATTACTTCTTTTAAAAAATCTCTCATCTTAATTCAATCATTAATTGATATATTTTTATACGTTTATTTCTGTACTGATGTTTCTTTTTGTAACTAATCTCAGAATAAGTTGCTCTCCTTGCTGAAAATAAAGCAACATTTCACACAAGACTATAACTATACACAAGCCTACATAAAACTATTAACAGCTGGGTCACAGATGTATTCAAGAAATATTTCTATTCTTGCATTATGTAACCACAGTTTTTTAAAACAAGTGTGTGTGTGTGTGTGTGTGTGTGTGTGTGTGTGTGTGTGTGTGTGTGTGGCATGGGATCAGAGATGTTTCTAGTCAAGATATGATAAAAGACACTTTGCCTCCAACCAACCCACCCCAGTGCAGTCTACTAGTAAGTGGCTTATTACATGCCATCTCTGTTATTCTAGTCAGGAGTTGTGTATGTTGTAGTTAGGGTTGTCAAGTACACTCTCCTCACAGACCAGACCTCAACTCTGATTGTATTGTGATTGTGACCTCATTCCCATACCTAGATCGATCTAGCAGGATCATTCCATCTCCAAGGGGATTCTCGCTAAATTACACTCAGCCCTTAACACTCNGCAGGTACATCGTGAAAATGACTTAACTAAACTCGACTTTTGCAATATGGCCAATAAGGTCAGAAATCTCACTAAGTCATAATATAGTGAAATGCCCCATATCTTGTGTCTTTTAAACGTGGGAAGGTGACACCCCCATTTGCACTGTTTTATTGACTTTGAGTGTTAAGTGGCTTAGAAGTTTGGCAGGCCTTCCGAAGTGGCTTAACGACAGTTAATTACCTCCTAACAGCTTCAGTATGTATATCAGACATCAGAGCCATTTAAAGCTGAGTGTGATTTAGCCAGAATCCCCTGAGATGACCGATCCCCCTAGATTGATCTAGATATTGGAATGGGGTCCAAGTCTTGTGAGATTTTTCTCAATGGAAAGGAGCCCTCACTGGCATCAAGAGGCCCAACAGGTGTCTGCCTTCCTTACTCCCAACCCCCAACAGGCATGTCTTGATCCTAAATATCACACCCTGCTGAGCAATCTTAATCATCAAAGGAATTATCCCAGGGATTCAATTAGTGAAACAATAATCACCCTAGGACTTTTAGAATAGGCAAACAGGGCCCTTTCTTTTGAAAAATGGCTGAAGTTGCCCTCTATCCCCCCTTCGTTCCAAACCATATATTTGACGGATATATGCCTATTTGATTTGTGTCTGTACATAAAATGGCAACCCCCCACCATCCCCAGAAAAGGTTCAATTTAAGCCTACAGAATGATGCTTAACATACAAAACTGTAGACACTTTTCAGAATTTTTATGACAGAGGGCATGATCAGTTGCCCCTTCCAAAAATATTGATCTACCACTGTATACCCACTAATCCCTCCCCCAAACAAAACTCTATTTGTTTTTTGTTGTTTTTTTTTCTATCACACAACTCAAGCCGTAGTCAGCAGCTCAGGCTGAAATATACATAACAGATATATATTTACTCAAGCATTGTTCAATATGTAAACTCTCCAGAACAACATTCCAAAATGTCCTAGATCTTTTCATGCCTACGTCATTAAAAAAACCCAGAAAAACAAACATTGACATCCTTCACTGTTTTATTTTGATATTTTGCCATAATAGGGAGGAGGGGGTAAGGAGTCTGGTAATAGATGGTTTCAGTAAGAGGCCATTCCCAGAGACTATCCTACTTACTTTGAATTGAACTATCTTCAAGGAGATTCTCACTTAACTGCAATTAACTTGGACGGCTTAGATGTCTGTAACGCCTGCTGAGGCTGATAGGGGGTAATTAATTATCGTTTAGAAGCTTTAGTGGACGTCCCAGATGTCTAAGCCACTTAACTGGGCTGAAAGCAATTTAGCGAAGGACCACGTGGAGATGAACCGATCCTGTTAGTTAGATCTAGGGATGGGAACCCAGTCTAAGAGTGCATTCGCAGAGATTTAGATTGATCCATCCAGATCGACCCAACTTAATCCCTGGGGGTTCACACTAAATTGCAGTCAGCCGAGCACTCACGGTAGTTAATTACCCCCTTACAGCTTTTAGTGGGCGGGACAGGCACTTAAGCCAGTTAAGCTGACAGTAATCTAGTAAGACTCCCCACAGGGATAGATCGATCTTAAACCTGTGGGAATGGGGTCTAAGAAGTCAAATGGAAGGCAAGGAAAGGGCTGTGACCCCAGGAACACTGTTTAACACATGTTTGTACTGGTTCTATAGAGCACCAAGGGGCAACAGGGGATCTCTGGAAACATGAACTGCTTCCAGAGAGCACCAAGGGGCAGCAGGGAATCTCTGGCTCTCTGGAAACAAACACACTCTGGGTCTGACCTGAGCTGCCGAGTTCAGCTAAGGTGTCTGCTATCTGTCTGCAATAATGTTATTGAAGACAATGGAGACTATAAATATAACCCTTCAGTGTCCTGCCATCAATTACTATCATGGGCAGTTGGACAACAGAACTTTAATTTTCACTGTAAGTTTTATTACAATATATATGTCTTGTTGCCTACTGAAAAACAATTACGAGAAAGAGATATACAGCAGTGCAAAATAACTTTTCATTGGGGGTGTCAGGGAGGGTGGCTCAGGGGGGCATTACCCTTTTAAGCTTTTGCTTTTCTAATTACGCTTTGTTCTACAAAGACAAAAGGAGTGCTCCTTGCTCTCCCAAAAGTTCGAAAACTGGTTCCAATTGCAACCAGTCTTCTGACTGGCACCAATGTATGTGAGGGAGTTGGGTCTAGTCTGCATTCGTTATGAAATTGCCTCTTGTTTCAGGGCCAAAGTCCAAGAATTTGTGGTGGAGATACAAGTATTTTTTCACTCAATTTTGCCACACCTTTCAACACTTTAGGTGTGCTGTTGTTTCTGTAACCCAGTTCAGGCAGACTGGAATCTGGTCTACATTGAACAGGAGATTCTTTAAACTGAAATCAGCAAATACAAATATCTCGGTTTAAATGAGGATGAAAATTCGAGAACGTTAGGCTTTCTATACATGCTGCTTCCTGGGTTGTTTCTGTGGAAAAATCAACGAGGATATTCCAGTTATGGCTACGACCATCTCTGAAACTGTGACACTGACCAGAGCAAAACAAGCACAGCTTTCAGACCACCTTTTAACCTAACTTCATGAGAGCCATTGGGTCTTATATTCTGGATTCTTGTTATTATTCTGGATCCCCAGCTGAATGGCTATATGCCTACCTTGTCAGAAAAAGATGAAGATTCTTCTGAGACCATAATATCTACAGATTCAATGTTCCCTTTTGGGGTGATCTGGCGAATAAAGGCTTCTCCTCCCAAACACAATATGCTTGTGGCCACCTCACTTTTAATCATAATTTTCTCATTGTACTTAATACCCTGGGCAGAAATCACTTCTACTGAGAATTGACATTTTAAACTAAAACAGGTTATATTCTAAATACCAACAGTACATATGCTGACAGCCGGAGCATTGGGTTACTACTCACCTTTCTAACTAAATCCTCTACTTGAGCTTTGTTAATTTTTACCTGAAAAAATGAAAATAAAATTAAAAATTAAAGTTAAAGGAGAAATACTTTCATTGTACAAATATTCTGTGGTCAACAATATTGCATAATTATCTACTCGTTAATGTACTAAATCAGCATTTGTATAGAATTCCTGAGGATAGATTTACCTATTCACTTTCCCCATTCAAATAAATTAAAATATTATATTGTTCTTTAAACCACTTATCAAGTCATAATTGTTAAAGTTCATAAATTTATCAATGCTGTTTGTGTTCAAATATGTCCATCATGTCAAGGTACAGAATGGCACAAAAAGGAGCACAGTCACTGAACCAGCTCATCAAGGGTAGTCAAAGGGTGCTTTCCCAGAGATTTAGATCGATCTAAAGATTAAAATTTAGATCAACCTAACTCCCTGGGGGTTCACACTAAATTGCAGTCAGCCAAGCGGGCACCATAGTTAATTATCCCCTTACAGCTTTTAGTAGGCGGGACAGACGCTTAAGCCGGCCAAGCTGACAGTAATCTAGTGAGACTCCCCACAGGGATAGATCGATCTAAAAATCTATGAAAATGGGGTGAAAATTGTCAACAGTCAAGACTATTAAAAGATTCGTGTATGTGTTCAAATGGTTTGATATCTATAATGTTTCAATGACAGATTGTGACAAGACAAGAAACTGACTAAAAAGATCATCAGAAAGGTAAAGGTATGAGACATGTCCTCGTGGATTATGAAAGGAGTGAAAGTTGCAACCCACACTGGTTTCATTACACCAGGTTTTTTATTGGGGAGGAGAGGAGAAGAGAAGAAAATAGCTAACAAGGACAACTTTACAGAAACATTTATGGCTCAACAATGGAAAAATTGCTTGGTTTTCGCTGATTTCACTTACAAGAGAAAAGCCCATGACCCACCTCTATTTGCTGCTGTTTCAAACAAAACTATCTTAGTTCTAGTCTATAACTGTAGGAAAAAGGTACTTTGTTGCACCACCCCCCCCCCCAGCCCACCCTGTCCCCTTTCCAAGTACACCCTGTATCCTCTTGTTAAGTAATAAAAACAGTGAGCAGAGGAGGAGAAAAAAAGAGATTCAATTGCAGGTGACTGAAATGAAAGTCAACATCCTGTGCATATAGCAAACATTTTTCTTTTAATAATTCTGAGCACGACCTCACTAATTCAGGCGGAGTTCATTCACTCAGCATCATTTCTACTGTGCATACAGAAGAGCTCCAGACGCTGGTCGCTTTTTGAGAGAAATGGCAGTCAAGCACCCCTAATCATGATCCAGTGAAAAGAAAGCGTGTTTGCTGTG